TCATGGTGGCACCTTAACGCGTGCTACTCGATCTCTATCTCAAACTCAAACATGGTGCTCAATAAACTCAGGCTTTGTTCCACTTGGTATCACAAGTCTCTGCCACTTTTACTTAATCTTAGCTCTGCATGTAACCATGTCTCAACGATGGTTCCATAATTCATTTTGCCATACTCTAGCATAGCTTAAAGGGGCAACCCAAAGCCCACACACAACTCAAGGATCCATCGATCCACTCTAAACACAAGGTCGCCTAATCGACTCCATCTTAGGGTTCACCAACCCACTTAATACTCAAGGTTCACTGACCTACTCAAATGAAAAGCCATCCCATACGTTGGTATTTACTCAAACTATCCCATAAATGGCTTAATCACCATTGGCTTATCCTTTGCCTTTACTCAAACTTGTCTAGTTTACTAACTGGATGCCACTCAAATGCCATTACCCTTGGCTCACTCAACTCAATCAATCCTTTGACCCACATAACTCATAAGGCTTTGTCAACGAGCCAATTCCCACATGCACATTTCACTAAACTACACATTGTCATGGTCTATTACCACCATATCTCATAAGTCTTTTTCTCTCGACCAACACAAACTCATCTGCTTATACAAAAAAGCTCCATGCTTAGACCCAGATACTTGGTTCGTACCCTTACTAGGGCACCTGCACCATACAAAAGTGCAGACATTAGTAATTGATCTCAAAACACATGACACATATCCCTTAGGACAAAACTCACTCAGCCTACATGGCCTTACTCAACACCATTTCATGGTCTATGCCTATTTCACATTTCAGTCTCACCATAGTTTTTCCACCATAAGAGCATCACATGCTCATATGTGCCAACATTTTTCAGTAGGTGAGGCTAGACTCTTGTGGCCTTTCACTTGGCATCCAAAAGCCTACTCGAAGGCCTTCCACCTAAGCACACATCGTTAGCTCATTCCTGAGCCCTCATAGCCACACTATCACAATTGCACCTCAATAGCTCTCTTTGAGCTTAGCATCGCCTAATTTTCACATTATCATACCCACACCCAAGGCTAAGTTAGTCCCACCGCTGAGCCAAACATGGCTATGATACTAAAATGTCATAGGCCATGTATTCCTTAGACCAAAACCACATGTCCATGACCAAGACTACTCATAGTCAAGGTCAGCCTTTCGTGAGTCCATTTTCCCATAACAGCTCAATGTTGATCCTTCAAGCAACATACTAATGAGCCTTTCCTGGCTTTGACCCCATTTGGTCACACCTCAATAGGGAGGAACGCAACTCCCATCAACTCATCAGCCCACGATACTCAGTGTGGCCCTAAGCACATATTTCTGCTCGTAGGCATCAAGGTCTCAAGCACTGACCCTCGAATTCTCATAGGGCCTGTAACCTTAATTCTTATAATATTATTGCTTTCTGGCATAGTGAAAAACTAACACTATGCCTGCCTATATTGTATGCAAGCTCTCATGCCAAGATCCTACAGGCACAACATAGATGTTGGTCAAAATCCAGCTTAGAGCTTCTAGGCTCATCTCGTCCCATAAAACTCATTTCTTAGGGCCTCACCCCTAGCCTCATTTTAGGCTACCTGCATACATGATAGACACTTAACATTATGCTTGTCCTACCTCAAAGACTCAGGTATGCTACTCTAACTGCAGCACCCCTCTATCGATTAGCCACAAAGGTCTAGCAGCATGCCTGCCTACTAGCCCGCTTATATCTTAAGCTCGATGATGCCTCTTCTACATAAATACCATCTCATGATCCTTCTAGCTCAAGAAGGGGAAACCTAGGGGCATAGCAAATGCTATCGCCTAACCCCATGGTTTAACACAAAGGTGCATTACAAGTCCCACCGGCCTCAACCATCCCCGAGCTTACCATGATGTAAGAAGACAATGTGCCACACTCGTGACCCTACAATGCCCTCCCACCTAGACACCACATGTACCTAGAAATAGCTCACTTCAAACTAACTAAGCCCTATGTACTTGCTAGCCAAAGGGGTGGTAGAGAGCTAACACCATTCGTCTCCCTATAAAGAGTGTAAAAGCTCTCCCAAGCCTCCTACCTAAGACTATAAGAATGTTTGAAATGGGGACACTTTTCTCTATAGCCATCTTAAGGCCTTTCTTCACCCAACTCAAGGCCCCTTGACCTTTATCTTGGTCACCATAATTCTAGCATTTCACTTGTTACTCCATCATACATGGCTTCGACTGATAGCACCCAACTGGCTAATCAGCTCCAAGGCACCCACCCATTGCCTTACACTTGCTCGTGCATCTTGGGGTCTAAGGCTCACACTGCCTACACATAATATCAGTAATATTTTCACATGCTTAAAATGCCCACACACAGCTCTAGGACCACTATCCTGCCAATAAGTCCTCGACCATTACTCAACTCAAGGTTAATCATGGCAGGACCAAGGCACACAAGGGCTTGACCATGACAGCGTGCCTACAATTGATGCTACCCGAAACCTCAGACCAAGTCCCTATGTTACACCCAAGGTGGGTGCACTAGGAGCCAAGGCCTGTGCACTAGTGGCCTAGGCTTGAGCATCAAAGATAGAAGTAGAGGTTCATGCAATAACCATGGTAGAAGCATCTGGATCATCCGCTCAACAATCAGGCTTGCCCAATGCACTGATGCTAGACTAACAACATGTCTGCACAACACCCAAGTGGGACCAAAAGAGTGAGGCCAAACCAAAACCACCTAAAAGCCTCCAAGATCTACAGTATATAGAAGGGGACATGATCAATCCTTAGCATCAAGATGTAATTTGTAATTTGTAATTTTAAATTCAAAAATGTAATCTTTTGATATTAGAAACTACCATACAGAGCTGGGGCCTCAATTATAAATAGAGGGCCACCCCTCTCTTATTTGTATTCAATTCACCATTGATTAATATATAGGGCATTCTAGCATTCTTTTATGTTCTTAGCTTGTGTATTCTACCTTTATGTTTTGGTTTTGTGCTCGCACATTTGTTTTATAGGTTGACTTAGGCATGCGAAGTTCATTCCCTATCTAAGGCTACATAAAGTTTGGCTTAAGACTGGAGCCCATGACAGTTAGTATCAGAACAGGTTCTGCTTGAAGGTTGTATTTGGGTCGCACTCAAGGCATTTGTAGAAATGACATCCCAAAGTGATGTTTCTAGCCAATAATTAAATGCCAAGATCAAGGCCACGAAAGGGGCATGAAAGCTAGTTTGAGGGACATTTGGTCTACCATGGCTTGGTAGTTGTCCATGGTGGAGCTGACAGTGGTTGATGTGAAAAAAAAGCTTGATGAGGTGGAGACTCACATTGAGGATTTGGAATCCATGGAGGAAGTGCTCAAAGGTGAGATGCAAGTGACTCTAAACTAGACCATTGACATGTTCACCTAGCAGAATGAGGTCTTGAAGGCCTTGGTGGAAACCATGCATAAGGAGATGGAAGAGCTCAAGAGGGAGCTTACTACTTGCAAAATTGCCATTGGGAATGGCGTGATCACTAGAGTGCCTAAGGAGTTCAAGGGTACTCAAGCTACTAAAGAAGTGGATAACTTTTTATGGGGGATGGACTAGTACTTTCAAGCCATGGGCATGCAGGATGATGCTACTAAGGTAAGCACTACTTTGATGTATCTTACTGATGTTGCCTTATTATGGTAAAGGTACAAGTACGATGATGTAAGGTGTGATAGTGCCTTGATTGGAACTTGGGAAGAGTTTCAAAAGGAATTCAGGGAATACTTTTACCTTAGTTCTACCCCCATCTCATTCAAATCTAAAATCTATAATATCAATTCAGTAAGGTAAGAGTAAGAGTTTATCTAGAAGTTCTCTGAATTGATATTACAGACTTCAGATTTGAGTGAGATCGAAGGTCTTTTCACCTTCATGGATAGACTCAAGCCATGGGTGAAGTATGAGCTGTAGAGAAGGGGAGTTCGTAATATTGCTAAAGCTAAAATCACTGCTGAGTCTTTGGTAGAGTTTAAACCACAAAACAAGTTCGAGTCTTCCAAGCCCAAGGGGAAAGGCAAGGGTAAGAAGGATCAGAAATGATAGTCTAAGGGTGGAGGCCGTGGCTGACAAGCCAAAGATAAAGACTAAGATCATTCAGCCAAAGATGGCCAGGGAAGGCCACCAACAGGGAAATGGAAGGCTAGGAGAGACTGGAAGTCGATCTCTTTTTATATGAAAGGCCACATGTAACACAAGACTACCCTAAAAAGGGTAAGCTGACTACCATAGACAAAGGGTCAGATAATGAGCTAGAAAAGGAGACTATAAAGCTTGGCTCTATTATGCTCAATATAGTCCAAGGTAAAATGAACCATAAGCCAAAAAGGTTAATGTATGTGGATCTGTTAGTTTGGCAAGAAAGTGACCATTCTGGTAGACACAAAAGCTTCACATTTGTTCATATCTAGTGATGGAGCCTAGAAACTCTATCTGAAGGTGCATAAGGAGACTAGTACCATCAAGATAATTAACTCCAAAGAAGTCCCAACCATTGGATTGGCACATGGGGTAGGGCTACAACTTGGAGCTTGAAAGGGCAAAGAGACCATTAAGGTAATACCCTTAGATGATTATGAGTTTGTGGTTGGTTTAGATTTCTTTGTTTAGATTAACATCCTCATTGTGCCTTTTGCCAACTACATAAGCATTCTAGATGCACGGTGCCTATGCCTTGTACCATTAAGGCGTGGCTCTAGGCTTGAGACCAAGGTGCTATCGACCATTCAATTTACCAAGCTAGTGAATAGGAATAAAGACACCTTTTTGACTGCCCTGAAGTATGATAAGCCTAATAAGATAGAGTCTAAAACCACCTTGGAAGTGCTAAATGTGTTAAAGGACTTTAGCGATATGTTGCCTATACAGTTGCTGAGCAAGCTACCACTTAAGAGAGAGGTAAACCATAAGATCGAGCTGGTGCCTGAGGCCAAGCCACCAGCTAAAGCCCATTATTGAATGTCACCCCTAGAGTTGGAAGAGTTAAAGAAGCAGCTCAAGAAATTGATCGATGCTAGCTACATTAAGCCATCCAAGGCCCCACATGGTGCCTCAATTTTATTCTAACGCAAGCATGATGGGTCCTTATGGTTATGTATTGGCTACCAGGCATAGAATAAGCTGACCATCAAGAACAAGTATCCTATCCCCCTCATTGCTAACCTATTTCACTAACTTGGAAGCTAAAAGTGGTTCATCAAGTGGATTTGTGATCAGGGTATTACCAGGTTAGGATCGTAAAGGAAAATAAGCCTAAAACCACTTGGGTCATCCGCTATGGCTCTTATGAGTTCTTGTTCATGCCATTCGAACTATCCAATGCTTTGGCAACATTCTGCATGCTCATGAACAAGGTACTACAACCATTCCTTGATCGTTTTGTTTTGGTTTATCTTGATGATATTGTTACCTATAGCTAGATATTGAAAGAGCATATGGACCACTTAAGGTAGGTATTCCAGGTTTTATGGGTGAATGAACTATTTGTAAAAAAAAAAAAAAGTGTTGATTTATCCATCGATAGGTACTATTTTTAGGCCATATAATGAGAGAAGGCAAGATACACATGGATGCTAGCAAGGTTCATGCAATTCTAGATTAAGAACCATAAGCCAAAGTCAAAGAGCTGAAATCATTCCTTGGGTTGGTTAACTACTACCAGTGCTTTAACAAAGGCCACTCATCCATCACCACAACATTGAATAACTTGCTTAAAAAGGGGAAAGTGTGGGATTGGAGCACCAAATGCTAGCAGGCCTTTAATCAGTTGAAGTGGGTAATGACTAAAGAGCCAATCTTAGCCTTACCAAACTGTATGAGGTGTATACAAATGCATCAAACCTTGCAATAGGGGGTGTGTTGATGTAGAAGAACATCCAGTTGCATTCGAGAGTTGGGAGCTCAATAAGATCGAGCATAGATACATGGTATAGGATAAAGAGATGATAACAGTGGTGCACTACTTACGCACTTGGTAGCATTACTTATTAGGGTTGAGGTTTATGGTCAGAACTGATAATGTTGAAACTAACTACTTTTAGACACATAAGAAACTATCCCTTGAGCAGGTCCATTGGCAGGACTTCCTTGTAGAATTTGATTATAGGTTAGAATACAAGCCTAGGCATGCAAACATTATGGCTAACACCCTCAACAAAAAGGTAAGCATTGCTGCCATCAACCAACTAGAAAGTTCCTTGATGCTACACATTAAAGAAGGGCCATCCCATGATGCTACAACAAAGATGCTCATTAACCGTGCTAAGTAAGGTTAGAGTAGGGGCAGTCAGTTGTTTGTGCCATAACACAGGAAGCTCCCTAGGGAGGTTATGCAAGAATGCTATGATTCAAAGTGGGCTGGTCACCCAGGAATACACCACACCTTAGCCTTACTAAAAGATCGATACTACTAGCCGCACATGAGGGATAATGTTAAAGCCCATGCGAAAACCTATCTTGTGTGCTAGCAGGATAAAATAGAGTTCAAGCTACCAACTGGTCTCTTTAAGCCTTTGCCCATATTAGAGCGACCATGAGAGTGTGTCACTCTGGATTTCATAGTCAGTCTACCCAAGGTGGATGGGTTTGGGAGCATTATGGTAGTGGTGGATAGATTTTTGAAGTACAAGACTTTCATTCTAGCAACAAAAGAGTGCCCAACCAAGGAGGCAGCCTATTTATTCTTGAAGAATGTGGTAAAGTTCTAAGGAGTATCATAGACCATTGTTAGTGATTAGGATAGGTGATTCACATGGCAGTTTTGGATTAAGTTGTTCAAGCTATTAGGGTCAGACTTGAACTTTTTCACCAGCATGCATTCCTAGACTAATGGGCAAACTAAACGAGTAAATAGACTATTAGAGGTCTACCTTAGGCACTATGTGAATGCCACATAATGGGATTGGCCCAAGCTGTTTGATGTCACCTAATTGTCATACAACCTATAGTAGAGTGAAGCAATGAACCAAAGCTCTTTTGAGATCATGACAGGGCAGCAGCCACTAACACTAGGTTCAGTTGCAACAAGTTACATAAAGCCTAACATAACAGCATATAAGTTTACCATGGATTGGCAGGAGCAAACTGACTTAGCCAAAGTCTATCTACACAAAGTAGCAAAGAAGTCCAAGAAATGGGCAAACTAGAGAATGAGGGATGTGCAGTTCCAAGTAGAGGACTTGGTCTTGGTGAAGTTGTACCCCATCATGCATAACAAAGATCTATATAAGGGCTTAGTCCAGAGGTACGAAGGACTTTTCAAAGTTTTTAAAAATGTAGGTAAGGTTGCCTACAAGCTAGATATACCGCCAAAGCTGAAGGTGCACCTAATTTTCCATGTTAGCATGCTCAAGTCATTCCATAAAAACCAAGAGGATTTATGGTGGGAAGAGTCAAGGCATGCACCATTGAGAGCTAGGGCCTCTTATAAGAAGGAGGTCTAATGCATTCTTGCTGATCAGGTAGTGATGCAGCAAAGTTATAAACCAAGATAGGAGTACTTAGTGTGATAGAAGGGGCTTTCAAACAATGAAGCTAGTTGGGAACCAATAAAAGACTTATGGCAGTTCTAGGACTAGATCAGGTAGTTCCACATAGAAAATGAGATAAAGGCATTACAATATCAAGTGGAGAAAAATGTCACACCCAAAATGGGCACACCTAGGGCGAGCGCACTAGGAGCTAAAACTCGCACACCAATGGCCTAGCTCGAGAGATAGAAGTGGAAGTTTGCACAATAACCATGATAGAAGTGTCTGGACCACCTACCTGATAGTCAAGCCTACCCACAGCATTGGGACTAGGCTCGTAACATGCCCACACTGCACCCAAGTGGGCCCAAGAAAGGGGCTGAACTAGAATCATCTAAAAGCCTTCAAGATTTGTAGCACATAGAAAGAGACCTAGTCAATCCTTAAAATCAGGATGTAATCTATCATTTTGAAATCAAAAATGTAATCCATTGATATTAGGAACTACCATATAGAGCTAGGTCTTTAACTATAAATAAAGGGCCAGCCCCTCATTCGTATTCAGTTCATCACTAATTAATATACAAAGCATTCCAACATTCTTTTATGTTCTTAGCTTATGTATTTTGCCTTTCAATTTTGGTTTTGTGCTCACATGCTTATTTTGTAGGCTGACGTAGGCATACGAAGTTTATTCCTAATCTAAGGCTACATGGAGTTTGGCTTAAGATCAAAGCCTATGACACCTGAATTAGGTAACGACTCTTTGGGGTGGTACAAGCAGAACCTATAGTCATGGGCTTGGCTTGGCCAAGTCTCTCAAGTATGTGGCAGTCTATGGTTCTTTCTTATCGACCATAAAAATGGCTTGGCCTAACTAAGCCCATGCATGTAGCCAATTCTACCCAAGACCCTAGGAACAAGTCTCTGAATTGGGCAATGTCTCATTGGGGTGGTGATAGTGGAGTTTGCATGTACGGTCCTGGCTAGACCAAGCATTAGTGGTGTTATGGCATTATTGCCTATTGGATGATAGGGGCAGTCTTGTGGCCTTTGCTTGTGTTTTCTATGCCAAACGATTACGGCATGGCCTCATACATTGTTTCCTCTACTTGCTTATTGAGTAATCAATCAGGTGGGCTATGGATCGATGCACGTGGATGCTACCACTTATACACAATGGGCATATGAGTGTTGCTATGATTGTTCATGTTGGCAGGCTTTATGCTTCATGCATCAAACTATCGATCGGTCATCTTCTTCAATCTCACCCTATGTGGTCATTGTACCCTAGGGGCACAATCAGGATCCTATGCTACATACCTAAATTAATGAAAACTAGATGTCTTGCCATCTTTTATCTATCTTGTGTCCTTAGGGGCTATGAGTTGGACCTCAATCGTGCCTCGTGTCCTAAGTGTGCCACCCAAACCTCTATGGCTGCATTGGTGCATTAGTGTTCAATCATGTTCTCAAATGCAGAACATTTTGTAAGTGTGAGCTCTTGACCCTTGTTCATCCAATGCTATGCATTTCACTTGCTCAACACGCATGATGCTTGTGCTCTGTGTTGGCTCTCTCCAACACTCAGTCAGTGCATTAAGGCCCAGCGATGCCAACATCCTGAAGGAATGCTACATGGTTGATCCTACCAATAGTCATATGCTTGTCTCAAATATTAAGCCATACATGTATAAGTATGAACTAATTTAGATTGTGAAACTGTAAATGGCTCATTAAATTAGTTATAGTTTGTTTAATGGTATCTACTACTTAGATAATCGTAGTAATTCTAGACTTAATACATGTAAGAAACCTTAACTTTTGGAAGGGATGCATTTATTAGATAAAAGGTTAACGTAGGATTTGCCCATTGCTTTATGATTCACGATAACTCAACGGATCGCATGTCCTTTATGCCAGCAATGCATCATCCAAATTTTTACACTATCAATTTTTGATAGTAGAAGAGTGGCCTACTATGGTGGTGATGGGTGATGGAGAATTATGGTTCTATTCTAAAGAAGGAGTCTCATGGTCAGGCCCTGGTGTGCCTCAGTCTACCCTGACTAACCCTTAGCTGAGCAGTGGTCAAGGCCTTATTGGCAAGATGGTGGTCTTAGAGCTATGTGTGGGCATTTTAAGCAAGGGAACATGTTTCTAATATTGTGTGAGGGCAATGTGAGCCCTAAGCCCCAAGATGCATGGGCAAGTACGAGCTAGTGGGAGGGATCCTAGAGCCAGGTAGCCAGTCGGGTGCTATCAATCAAAGCTATGTGTAGGCACCCTTGTATGGATTAGTAGAGCAATGAGTGGAATACTAGAATTATGGTGACCAAGAATAAGATCACCGAACCCTGAGTTGGTTGAAAAAAGGCCCTAAAAAGGTTGGCAAGAAAAGTGTTTCAAATATTTTTATAGTGCCTGGTAGGAGGCCTAGAAAAGCTCTTACACTCTTTATAGGGGGACGACTAGTATTAGCTCTGCACCACCCCCTTGGCTAGTGGGTAGGCAGAGACTTGCCTAGTCTGAAGTGAGCTATTCCTAGGCACATGTGATGTTTAGGTGGGCAGGCATTATAAGATCATGAGTGTGGCACAGTGTCCCCTTAGGTCATGGTAAGCCTGAGGATGGTGGGCAACAGCAAGCCTCGTATCGTGCCTTTGTGTTAAACAATTGGGTTAGAAGGTAGCATTTGCTATGCCATTCAGTTTCCCCTTCTTGAGCTAAAAAGATCATGATATGGTGTCTATATAAGAGGGGCACCAATGAGCCTTAGATATGAGCAGGCTAGTAGGCTAGCACATTACTAGACCTTTGTGGCCAATTAGCAAGAGGATGTTGTGGCTGGGGTAGCACACCCAAGTCCCTGAGGTGGGATGGGCATGATGTTGAGTATCCATCATGTGTGTGGGTAGCCTAAAATGAGGCTAGGGGTTGAGGCCCTAAGAAATGAGTTTCATTGGATGAGATGAGCCTAAAGGCTCTAGGCTGGTTACTAACCAGCATCTGTGTTGAGCTTACGAGATCTTGGCACGAGAGATTGCATACAATGTGGGCAGATATGTATTGGATTCTCACCATGCCAAAAAGAAATAATAAGATGAAAACCAAGGTTGTAGGCCCCTATGAAAATTTGAAGGTCAGTGCTCGAGAACTTGATGCCTATGGGTAGAGATAGGTGCTCGAGGCCACCCTTAGAATCATGGGCTCATGAGTTGATGAGAGTTGGGTTCCTCCCTATTAAGGTGTGACCTTACAATGTCAGAGCCAGGAAAGGCTCATGAGTATGCAGCTTGAAGGATCAACATTGAGTTGTCCATGGGAAAATGGATTCTTGAAAGGTTGACCTCGACTATGAATAGTCTTGGTGCTACACGGACAAGTAGTTTTGATCTAAGGAACACATGGCATGTGACAAGGAGCCTGAAAAATGGCTACCACATCCAAGAAAGGCAATAAGCATGCAAATTACCCAATCCTCACAAGAGGAAGTAGTGACAACAAATAACAATTTTGGGCTCTATGAGTCTAGTAATTGGAATGAGTACAATCTAAATCCATTAACGAGGATCCATTGGAGGGCAAGTTTGGTGCAAGTAGCCGTGGTAATTCTAGCTCTAATAACGTATATTTAAGATGTTATAGTTAAAAAGCTTATAGTTGGAACAAGGGTTGGATCATCTGGTCTGACTCACGATAAGCATCGGTCTACTCGTCCCTATTGTTGGTGATGCATTCCTGGCTTTAATTGGCTAGTTCATTCATCTAGTGCTATTACTTTGAAAAAATTAGAGTGC